TCCCCCAGTGAGGGGCTGGGGTGTGGCTCAGTGGTAGAGCCCCTGCCTAGAATCCCCCAGTGAGGGGCTGGGGTGTGGTTCAGTGGTAGAGCCCCTGCCTAGAGTCCCCCAATGAGGGGCTGGGGTGTGGCTCAGCGGTAGGGCATCTGCCCAGCGTGCACTAGGTTTGTTCCACAGCATCGTAAGAGTAAAAGGTTGCTCCATGCCTCTTCACCACTCCATGACTTCCCTAAGTATCTCTTAGGTCTTGTTCTTGTCAGATCCACAGCTTCTCCCTGCAGGCAGACCTGGCCACCATCCTTTATTTATTTATTTTTTTAAAGATTATTTATTTTTATGTGCATTGGTGTTTTGTCTGTATGTATGTATGTGCGAGGGTGTCAGGTCCCCTGTAACTGGAGTTACATGTCCGTGAGCTGCCATGTGGGTGCTGGGAATTGGACCTGGGTCCTCCGGAAGAGCAGCCAGTGCTCTTAACTGCTGAACCATCTCTCCAGCCCTTATTTTGGTTTTTTGTTGTTGTTGTTTGTTTGTTTGTTTGTTTGTTTGTTTGTTTTGAGAAGGGTTTCTCTGTGTAGTTTTGGTGCCCGTCCTGGAACTCACTCTGTAGACCAGGCTGGCCTCGAACTCACAGAGATCCCCCTGCCTCTGTCTCCCTAGTGCTGGAATTAAAGTTATGCGCCACCACCCAGCTCATTCTTTTTTTTTTCCTTAAGACAAAGTCTCACAACACAGGCTGGCCTATGAGTCACGGCAATCTCCTGCCCCAGCCTCCTGAGTGCTAGCATTAAAGCTTGAGCCCAGCATGCTCACCTCTCTGGCCTTCAGTCCTAACCCTCCTTTCATAATAGCAGCTGGATGGGTCCCCATGCCTGGATCTCCTGTCGGCCTCCTCTTGCTCAAAACTCTTCTTAGCTCCAGAGACCCACCACCACCACCACCACGTTCTCCTCCCTTTTACGGCGAGTGAGGGCCTGAGAGACGTGACCTCCACTTGGTTCCCCACACTCACATCTAAGCTTCTTCTTCTTTTTTTTTTTTTTTTTTTTTTTTTTTTTTTTTTGGTTTTTCGAGACAGGGTTTCTCTGTAGTTTTGGTGCCTGTCCTGGATCTCACTCTGTAGCCCAGGCTGGCCTTGAACTCACAGAGATCCACCTGCCTCTGCCTCCTAAGAGCTGGGATTAAAGGCATGTACCACCACCGCCCGACACATCTAAGCTTCTTTATTGGATATTGTTTTAAAGTACTTGAGAAGTACTTTTTACATTTATTTATTTGTTTGTGGGTGCGTACCTGTGGACACACAACTTTTGGGGGGTGGTTCTCTCCTCTCTTGTGGACCTCGGGGATGGGACTCAGGTGGTCGGTCTGAAGACTGGCACCTTCAGCCCCCGAGGGTGGAGATGCCGGTGAAGCCCTGCACATCCACTGTGATTGATTGATTGATTGATTAATTGACTGATTGATTGATCGATTGAGGCAAGGTTCCTCACTGGGACCTGGGGCCCACAGCACTGAGATTAGCGTACCACCATACCCAGGTTTTTGGCCCATGCCAGCCGCTGTGGCTTTCCTGGCTGTGCCATCTTCCCCTCCCAGCTGTTGGGTTCTCACACTGTGAACCCCTGCGGTCTCCCAGGTCTCTACTTCTGCCTTTCCTCTCCTCTAGAAAGACCCTCAGCAGGCCCTGAAGGAGCTGGCCAAGATGTGCATCTTAGCAGACTGTACCCTGGTCCTGGCCTGGAGGTGAGAGAGACCCCTCCCACCCACCCACCGCATGGCCTGTCCAGCCTGTGAGGCGGATCCTAAGCCAGGCATGGTGGCACAATCCCAGTTCTCGGGAGTCCAAGGCAGGCGTGTCAAGAGTTCAAGGCCAGCCTGGGCTAATGAGACCTGGGGTTTCCCACCTCCTTGGGTGCCTGGTGCAGGCACTGCCTCTCTGAGCCCTAACATTCTCAGTGTGTAAGATGGGGTCTTCTCTTGTTTTGTTTTTTGAGACAGGGTTTCTCTGTGTAACAGTCCTGGCTGTCCTGGAACTCGATTTGTAGACCAGGCTGACCTCGAACTCAGAGATCCGCCTGCCTCTGCCTCCCAAGTGCTGGGATTAAAAGTGTGCGCCACCACCGCCCAGCAAGTTTTTTTTTTTTTTTTGTAGTTGTAAGTACCAAGGCAGGTGACAGAGGCCAGGCGTGTCCAGCTTAGACCAGATGACTGAAGGAATTTTGTATCTAGTGTTTCCGGTTTGTTCTGTTTCCCAAAGTCTCCATAGCCAAGGCTATCCTAGAACACAGCAGTCTGCCTGCCTCAGCCTCCTGCGTGCTGAGATTGAGTGTGTGCCACCATACCTGGTGTCAATCTCTAGATCTCTAGAGGTCATTTAATTGGCTCACCAACAAAACCACAAATAGATAGTCTTTTTGGGGAAGAAAAAAAAGACACCCCTTCCCCACACTATAAGTAAAATTAAAGCTGGTAAATGAACAGCTTTCGACTTAGAGACACTTCAGTGTTTGGGGTGCTGGGACGGGCTCCCCTGGCAGCGCTTCCCGCTTCCCGGCATGCGAGAATCCCCGGGCTCTGTCGCTAGACTGCGTAAACCTGGCATAGCGGCTCACACCTGTAATTCCAGCACTCCAGGGAGTGGAGACTGGAAAATCAGGAGGGCAGTGCAATCTAGTTAAGTAAGCAGTTCAAAGCCAGCCTGGGATACATGAGACCCTGTCTCAGAAAGAAAGTCTTAGGCGGGGTGTGGTGGTGGACATCTGTAATCCTAGCACTCAGTAGACTGAGGCAGGAGGATCAGTTCAACATAGTGAGATCCTGTGGTGGTAGAGAGAATGCAAGAAAAAGGGAGATTGGAGTGTGGCTCAGTGGTAGAGCCCCTGCCAAGAATCCCCCAGTGAGGGGCTGGGGGTGTGGCTCAGTGGTAGAGCCCCTGCCTAGAATCCCCCAGTGAGGGGCTGGGGGTGTGGCTCAGTGGTAGAGCCCCTGCCTAGAATCCCCCAGTGAGGGGCTGGAGGTGTGGCTCAGTGGTAGAGCCCCTGCCTAGAATCCCCCA